CAGACCTCTGCTCCAAAATCTATCCTAAACCTGTTATTCCCTGAGAACTTACCTGTTGATACTTTATCCAAAATGCCAGTATGCTCCTCCCAGATGATTAGAGAAATGTTCAACTTTTTTCCCAACTCTCCCTTCCCTTGAGCTGCTTTCAAAAAGGTAGCCATCAAGATCTTCTCAAAACAAAACCAAAATTCAACAACTTCTTTGCCTTGTGCCTTCAAAGACCCTTCTGGAAGATCAGCTATGTCTTGCCCCACCCCCAGAAGCCCTACCCAGTCAGCTGCCTTCGTGACCACCCAAGCCCACTGCTCCATCTAGGCGCCTTGATGTTCACACTCTGGGAACACACCCCATGCCTTCTCAGAAAAGACACTCTTGGCTGGTTATATACAGCCTTCCTGCCTTCTTTAGGGCCTCATTCGTGTGCCTGCTCTCAAGGAGGCTTAGTCTCTTCTTCTTTAATTAAGTGTTTTAGTCCATGTCCAAATCATCAGTGAGTAAGGACACTTCCTCACATGTGTGTCCTCGTGGTTTCTTCATGCTTGCTCTTGTGTTACCCTCCCCATTCCTCCTCCTCCACCCTCTTCTTGGCTTCCTTCCTTCCTTCTTTCTAACCATATTATTAAATTAAGATCATTCCCGAGTTGTAATTCAGCTAATAGAATTATTGGTTTGCCGTCGTCCTGACCAAACATAGGAGGGCCCCGTCAACCTCAGTCCTCCTTTTATGGTTTCTACTACCTATAGTCAACCATGGTCCAAAAGTACTGAACAGAGAATTCCAGAAATGAACAGTCCTACATCTGAACTGCTTACCATTCAGAGAAATGTGATCTTGTTCTTGCCCCATCGTTGCTGTCGCCTGCTTCAGCTGTAGGAGCCGTGCTCTCCCACTGCGAAGCAGTCAGTAGGCATCTTGACTATCAGGTCACAGCATCAGAATGCTTACAATAACATAGGCCGCACTTTATTTAAGAGAGCTTTTGACATGCACCAATAGCTATGCTGGCAATTTTAGTAGAGGGTAGCGTTACAATTGTTCCATTTTACCATCAGTTATTCCAGATGTTTTCTTACGGCACCTAATGTTTAAACTAAGATTTGTCACAGGTACACATGAAAGGAAAACCATTGTATCTATAGATGGCCCCCAGTGTATATAGTTTGTCTTAAAATTTCCTCTTCATGATGGTACAAAAACAACGCATAGATTTTATTGTATCCTTCCTAGCAAACTATGACACACACTCTCTGGGGAGTCTCGGCAGCTGCAGTAGGCCCCAGGCCTCATCAGCCACTCAACAAAAACTCTTCAGCTCCCTGTGCCACTAAACGTGATGTTTGAGACCTTATATGTGTTAGATATGATTTCAACTTCCAATATCCTTGCCATCAATAGCTTGTCTGGGTGTCACCACATCGTAAGCTGCACATAGGTGGGGGAGTGCTCTCATGGGTTTTGGTGACTTGGAGTTTCAGGCATCGCAAGGGTATGGAAACATACTCCCCGTGACTAGAGCGGACTGCATGCACGTGCTTTGTGTGTGTGGAGGGGCGGGTTCTAGGTTTTGCTGTTTGGTTAATGAGTGCATTGACTCCCTTTTCTACAATCTGATCACCATTTGCCTGTGAATCCATTGAGAATACAGAAAAGAAGAAATACACATAGCGACCAAAATAGATGTCTGTGTCACCAAAGAGGATTTAACAGATGGCAAGTAAACCCATTAAAAGATATTCGACAACGTTAGTCATTAGGGAAATGCAAATCAAAACCATTGTGAGTTACTATTTCACATCTATCAGAATGGCTAAAGCATGCTGGGTTTGGGGGTGCACACCTTTACTCCCAGCACTCAGGAAGCAGAGGCAGATGGATCTCTGTGAGTTCAAGGCCAGACTGGTCTACAGAGTAAGTACCAGGATAGCCAGGACCACATAGAGAGATAACTGTCTCAAAACAAACAAGAAGAGCTAAAGTGAGCTCAGGAGATGCTCCAGAGGGTAAAGTGTGCACCCTAGGCATGAGAAGAAAGTTTAAATTTCTGGAACTCACATCAAGTCAGGTGATGCACATCTGTAATCCCAGAAATCCTACAGGGAAACAGGAGGCCCGCTAGGCTGAGAGCAAACATAGCAGCAAACACGTTATTCCTATCTGCAACAAAGTGGAAAGGAACTGACATCCAAGGTTGTCATCTGACCTACACCTACACACCATGCGCATCACACATACCGTGACACATCATACCACGTACACAAACACCCACACTGTGACATGTATGTATACACACACACACACACACACACACACACACACACGTAGGATAGAAACAAGTAATCATACCAAACTCTGGGAAGGCTGCTGGATCTCTGGCAGTCTGCTGCTGGGCACGAAGTGGCACAACATTTCTGAAGCGACTTCAGCGCTTACCACACAGCTCAGCAAAGTCGCTCTTGGTCACTCTTCAAAGCAATAAAAGTGAGTTTGTACAAAGACCTCCACATGAGCATTCATGACAGCTTTATCTGTAATAACTAGATATAGCCTAGATGGCCTTCAGTGGGTAAGGTTAAACAAACCGGAACATCTGTTCCATGGGACAGTGCTCTGTCACCAAAAGAAATGTCAAGTTTCAATAGCAAAGATTTGGGCCAGCCTCGAAGGTTCATTTCTTAGTAGGTCTGTTAAGTTAAGCATGAGTAAACAGGGGTCATAAAAACCGCCCTTTGCTGGAATTCACCTCAATGGATGCTAACTATGAGTTTAGTATGTAAGGAACTGCCCTGCCAGCTTGGGTGCTGGTGCAATAAAGTAACAGAAAGAGCCGAGCCAAGTCCAGTATGAAGCCCTCACTGTCAAGAGAAGATGGGATGAGCACTGAAGACAGCATTGTACCCAGCTGAGGGAAGGGGGTGCAAGAAAGGGTTCTACGTATCACTGAGGAATGAAGGAATCATGCGTATGAAGAGAAAAACGGAAGCTTCCATAGCAGAGAAGATAGCACAGGTAAGCGCTAGTCTGTAGGGACCAGAGAAATGATGTCTGGAGAATGTGGGAAGAATGAGGCTGGGTCCTGAGGAGGGTGGACAACAAGCAGACCAGAGCAAGGGTTTTCCCACATACTGAAAGTGTTCTGGTTGTGATGAAGGCTCAAGGAACCACTGGACAGGAGCAGGCTATCCAGTTTCCTGGGGTTTTTTCTCTTATTTGCCCACTGTTTATTGTTTGGTCATTCATTTGTTCTGCAGGGGTACGTGGTGGAGTGCACACACTTGTCACTCTCCCCTTCTACCATGCAGGTTTCAAATAGCAAACTCAAGTCGCCAGCCTCAGCAACAAGCACCTTTGCTTGCTGAGCCATCTTGCTGACTCCGGGCTCCTGATTTCCATAGCCGCCTTTATATGGCCTCCTCTCCTCTCCTCTTCCCTGTTGACAGCCCTCCCTACCTCCAAGACCAAGTTCAAACTCCACCTCCTTCTCCAGAAGGTCCCCTCACCCCCTCACTGGAGGGGATGCTCTCCTCCAGACAGCAGGTACAAGGAACATGTGTGTGTGCGCGCGCGCCAAATGGTAGCATACATGCAGTGGACGGTGATGTTTACAGTCGGAAGCCAGTCTGCCTGACCCATGATCATTTTCTAGTCACCCCCTGTCTGTGTTCGGTCACCTCATCTGTGGAGCAGAAGTACGTGGAAAGGCCTCTCAGGACCAGGCGCACCATAGTCCTGGAACCCTGGAGTCAGGAGCAGGAAGAGCTCTGTGAGCTTGAAGCCAGCCCAGTCAACCTAGTGAGTTTCAGGACAGCCAAAGCAACATAGCAAGACCTTGCCTCAAAAAACAAATAAACAAGCTGGGTGGTGGTGGCACACACCTTTTATCCCAGCGGTCGGGAGGCAGAGGCAGGCGAATCTCTTTAAGTTCGAGGACAACCTGGTACACAGAGTAAGTTCCAGGACAGCCAAGGCTGTTACATGGAGAAACCCTGAATCGAAAACCAAACAAACAAATACACAGCTGTCTCAGGATGGAATAAACAATGAATTAAAAAGCAAGGGCTTGGTGAGTGTTACTCCTTGTCATTCCGGCTGCCATACCCCTCCCCCATCCGCAGCCAGCACAGACAAGGCAAACATTGGGACACAGGAGCACAGAAGTCCATGTCCTTATCTGACAGTCACTCCTGACTATGACCGGACCCATTCTTCACTGACTGTCCTCAACAGATTAGAAATATCCTTATATGAGCCGGGCAGTGGTGGTGCACACCTTTAATCCCAGCACTCCAGAAGCAGGTGGATCTCTCAGTTTGAGGCCAGCCTAGTCTAAAGAGTAAGTTCCAGGACAGCCAGGGCTACACAGAAAAACCCTGTCTTTAAAAACAAAAACAAAAACAAATCCTTACATTTCATGGGTAATCTCAGATTATGACTTAGAATGGGCACGATCCTGGCTCTGCCTCTTGCTGCCAGCATGACCTAGGGCAGCTGCCTCTTGCTGCCAGCATGACCTAGGGCAGGTCCCTTTTTACCTTTCGGAACCTCCATGTTTCCATCTGTCATCTGTAAAATGACAGGGAGTTGCTGTCAGAGCAGGAAGGTTAAGAGGCAATTGGCAGAGGACTGATGTAAACGTGATTTCCCTTTCCTGCTGCTGCTGCTGCTGTGAGCCACATACCTCCAGGCCCTCACTTTCACCTCCAGGAGGAACTCTCCTCAGCACAGCTCTGGCGGGAGTCCAGCACAGGGAGCAGGTACATTTTAATGCGCCCCACCCACTGACTTGCTGCGTTCTGGATCTCCTCCTCCAGGGACTTTCCTGACTTCCCTTCTGTAAAAGAAGGAAAGAGCACATCACATGAGCATACTGTATACAAATATGCTTGGGAAAGCTTTCTCCTTCTTCTTCTTCTTCTTTTTTTTTTTCCTTAAACCCAACTTGGTTTCTGTTGTAGGCGGCACATTCCCTAGCCGGCAGGGCGGGCTGGAGAGAGCCATCAGGGGAGGCGGGAGTAAAAAGGGGAGGAGAAGCAGAGCATGAACTCACCCAGTGTGACAGCTACTCCCTTATTTAATGGGGGGTCTCTGGTCAGGAGTCAGAAGTGCCTCCAGGAGAGCGGAAGCATGGCTGAGGAGCTGGGGCTGGGCTTCGAGGAAGCAGTCAGAGTGGAAATGCCAGAGGGCAGAGCCAGGCCAGCTACCAGGAGCAAAGCATTCTTGGCTCTTATCTGCTGCCTGCTGTCGGTTTTCACGGTTGCAGGACTTAGCACCTTCCTGATGGTCAGCCAGCCCGGGACCCTGGGAACCCTGGGAAGAGATTGTATGCCTCGGGTAAGTACGCTTGCTCCTGCCTAGGGCATCAGTGGTCTCTCTCCAGGCAGCTACTCATTCCAGCTTGGGGCCTATGTCAGAACTGTTCGTGGACAGTGTTGCCAGCTTCCCTGTACAGAGAAAGTACAGACTGGGAGGGTGAGAGATGGAAAGGTCCCATCTGGTTCTTAACTCTGGATTTCCAGGGAATTGAGTTGTTTCATCCCATGTTTATACAAGAACAACTCCACAGTCCATCTTTTAAGATAATTACAATCATAGTGCACTGATACTTTGGAAACATTCCTTTTTCTTAAAAACAAAAGACTCTTAAATTGTTTTACATAATTCACGGTTGTTGAGGTGAAAGAAATAGAAATCACAGGCAAGGAAATGAAGAAAAAGCCTTACTCATAAATCCTCAGAGGTGAAAACTATTAACTATCTAAAGTACATAATTCCTTTCTGTTTTTAATAAAATGGGATTATTCTGAGCTTCCTACATAGTGTGAAACTATGTTTTGTTTCTACAGTATTGACTCTATGACGTATGGCTGGCTAAGTTCCTATATGTGGGATTACTATGATGTATGGTTAACTGTACTATGTTCCTATATGTGTAATTACTATGGCTGGCTGAACTATGTTCCTATATGTATGATTACTTTGATGTATGGTTAACTGTACTATGTTCCTATATGTGGGATTACTATGGCTGGCTGTACTATGTTCCTATATGTGTGATTACTATGGCTGGCTGAACTATGTTCCTATATGTATGATTACTTTGATGTATGGTTGACCGTACTATGTTCCTATATGTATAGGCTAAAATTTGTTTAACCAGTTCCCCTTCTTGGGTTTAGAAATATTCTTCACTGCTCAACTAAGAACCTAGTGAGGCTAAGGTCTCCCTGGAGAAGCTGTCACCAAAAGGCTGTGGGACTGGAGTTTGGAGAGTGAGGGTGCAGGTGTCCAGGAGGAGACCAGGAGTCCTGGGAACCCCTAGGAAGGATCTGAAAAGTCAACGACTATGCTTTAGGGGGAAATGTCCCGCATGCTCTGTAAAGGCTGATTAAATTTTAGTCCCAAGAATTCAACTATAAAGGAGAAAATGGGCAGCTTAATTGGAAACCTGGTCTCTAATCAGTCCTGGACAATTTCCACATCGTGGCTAATGTGTAACTCCTGCCACTCCATCAGGGTCAACAGTGATTGCGGCAGCCACGTGCCACGGCTTATAGATGCAGACATGTACAAGTAGACCAGAAAGGCTGCTTAGGTTAGAAGAGAACTGGAGGGGATGAGAAAATGGGAGGTCAGGCTTTGACCCCAGACACACCACACCACATACACACACACACACACACACACACACACACGACTAAGAGACTTCAGGGAACTCTCCAACCAGAAGGGGACAGCTGTCTTGAACGAAATATTACTAAGTGGCCTCCAGCAACCTGTGCCTCCCTGGACTCTGAAGGGATGCCGACATACAATAGGATTCTATTACCAGGACGCTGTCTGTAATCCCGATGTTGGCAGAAGCCAAAGAAGGTCACCTAGGCTACCAGTGGATGCTGCAGTCCAGGAAAGGGAATTGGCAGGGGAAGTGACCAGACAGAAAGACCCATCAAGGAGGGCACAAAGTGTTATCACAAATAGCAACAACTCGGAATCCCCTTCTTGCCTCCCCTACTCAGGTGCTCAAGACTTGAACCACACTAGCCTAATACCTCCCATCCCATCACAAAGAAAACAGTCTCCCTGACAACGGGGCATGGGTTGGGGGAGGCACACAGGATGCTTGAGGGTGTTGTTTAGCCAGGCTATAGGACATCTTAGTTCAGCAAAACAGAAAAGAGAAGGGGTGAAGCTGGGGTGGGTGTGCGGGTGCTATGGATTTGTAACAGTAACAAATGTACAGTTATGAAGTAGCAACAAAATAATTTTATGGTTGGGGTCACCACAGCATGAGGGAACTGTATTAAAGGGTCACAGCAATAGGAAGGTTGAGAACCAACGTTTTAGAGGAATCTAGAAGGAAGCTAACCCTTGGAAAGGACCTGACTAGAAAATGCAAAAGTTTAGACCAAGAAAAGGGTGGACAGAGGGAGCAGGAAACATTGGCCATTTTCCTCTTTAGACCTTTGACAGGATTCGGGTGGGAACCAGGGCACAAAGAAGCCAGGTAGGAGCCATGCCAAGAGGCTAGGCTGGCCAGGAAGGAGTCACACTGAGGAGGGCAGAGATGGGAGCGGAAACTAAGTCAAAATATGGCTCTCAGGTCCCTGTGCTTAAACTCCAGTTTGGCCATTTGTGCCCAAGTGAAAAACAGGCTCCTTGCTAAACGTCTTTGAACTGTTTCTTCTTCAGTCAGAAGGGGGCGTTTCTGTCAGCATGTTAATAAGACAAGTGCAGGGGCATTTTGCATGGCCGGAATGTGGCTGAATGGCGTGCTCAGGAGCCTGGGAGACGTTTACCACTTTAAGCCAGGCACCAAACAACCACGAGGGAAACTTGACCTTGGGTCTCAAAGAGCTTAAAGGTTGTTGTGTGCCAGTGAAAAGCAAAGAAGCTACTTCCGCCTGCCCGTGCGTTTCCCTAGCCTGGCCACAAGGCAGAAGCCTTTGTTTTGCAGATAGGCATCTGAGGGGGTGGAGACTTCTCCAACACAATTTCTCTAGTTGGAGGCAGATCCAAGCTTAAAACCAGACAGCCCAAACCATGCTCTACAGTCCGGCAGTGCGCCGGATTCTAGATGTCACACCATGAGTTGAAAAAAAGCTTCCGCGATGCCATGGAGGAAGGTCACAGCTGCTACCCCACGGCAGCCCAGTGAGGATTTTCACAAACCTATGGCACACTCACAATCACCCACCAAGGACTCCTAGCTTGGCAGGAAATTAGGACTGTGTGTGTGTGTGTGTGTGTGTGTGTGTGTGTGTGTGAGAGAGAGAGAGAGAGAGAGAGAGAGAGAGAGAGAGAGAGAGAGAGAGAGAATATGAATGAATCAGAGAAGTGGCCTGGCTCTCTTAAACTGAAGAAATATAATTGAAAACAAAATTGTCTGCCAACCCAGATCTATCCCCCCCCCCCTCTGGAAAGGCTGAAGAGAAAGAAATACTTTTATAATTGAATAATCCTTAAACTAAGATGAGATGTGCTTGACAGGCAATGGACTGAGAGGTCGCAGAGGAGCAGAGAGATTGCTCTTTGATATGCAGGGGCAGCAGATACAGCCCAGCACTCACAGTTCAGTGTAAAGAGCCAAGCGACTCACAGCAGACACAATAGCAGACGTTTTGTTCCTGGAAGAACTCAACTGCATGTGTGCGTTTATAATCGCGTGGAGTAGCCCAGGAAAGGCTGAAAAGTAGAGCTTCTTGCTGACGTGAAAGGGAGGCAGGTGGCTGAGCCAGCGAAGGAGGAAAATGTTTATTAACATTCCTTGAAGAAAGTGTGATGTGTTCCCTATTTAAAAAAAAAAAAATAGAGGCAGTGCAGTGTTTTAGGATCTTCAGATTTATGGGAGGCTAGGCTGATTTGCATTTTGGAAAGGCCATGAGTCACTGAAATCTCAAACCTAGTCTGGGTTCTACACTGGCCACTAGCTAGTTTGTCATCTCCCTTCCCATGGCCTCTGCTTGCATTTGTATAAAATGTGGATAATTAGAAACAGGGTATGTCTGGCATTGTGGAAACTGGCCAACAGCAAGCTTACATCATCATGCTGAGCAGGGAAGTTCCCTGCCTGGGAGATTACTTCACAGAGTACAACTTCCCTACCTGCTGTGGAATCTGCCCTTGCAGGACAAAGAGCAGGTTTGGGTGCTGTGGAGCTCTTCTCGGCTTTAAGAATGTCTCAGGGCTCCCTTCTGCACTACAGTCTTGCCCATCACCACAACCTCTCCCCTCAAACCGCTGTGTCAGTTGAATTGACCATAGTTCGGTATCCTCTGGGGCCCTGAATGGTTCCACGGCTACAGAACAGGTGCACTGGCTCTGTGTGTCCTCATCCTCCCCCAGCTCCAGCAGAGAAGATGCTGGAGCCTCTTGGCCCCACGCCAGGCAAAGACAGACTGGTACCAGATTCTGTGTTTTGAATCACCTGGACAGTGTAGCAGGGCTTCCTGCTCAGCCTGTCACCTTCTGTGCTGTCCTCCCAGACTCTCCTCACATTCTTGCCAGTCCCTTTTAATCTCATTTCTCCACCTTTCTGATTACTCCTGCAAGCTTCCACTATTTTCTGTACCTCACACAGCAGAAATGTCTGGAACACATTAAATGATCAATAAATGCTAGCTCTATTTCCTCCTGGAAAGGTACCAACTGTACCTGGCAAAGACATTCACTTGGTGTTTTCTGGATGGAAAGGAAGATAAAATACTTGGGCAATTTATCAGCCTTCCGTGATCCTCGGACTCTCGGTCCACTTTCTTCCTCACACTGTCGTGGGAGTTCTGCAAGACTCCAAGACACCCAGAAAGCTATAAGCAAAGACGGGATGCTCCCCGGAGGGCTTCCCTACCCACTCTGCCTTGGACAGGACTCTTATCTTCCCAAGGTTTTTCTTGTTTTGAAGGTAGGCAATACCCATAATCCCCAGCATTGTCTAGAAGACCCAAACAGATGAGATGGAAGAGGTGTGTCCAAGTCTGTCCCATAGTGGAGTCACCCCTGGTGTGAGCAGCTGCCAGGGATGCCAGTGGTACGTTCAAAGGCAGAACAAGACCATGCTGCAGGTCACCTCACAGGCCATACTCTCACTCCCTCAAGCGAGCCTGCACCACAGTGAGCACCATACTAGCTTGGCAAACTCCTGTGCCCTTACCCAGCCCAATAGTGTATGCTGCCAGACACCACAGCCCTTGCACAGCGTAAAGGTGTGTCCCAGCCTGAGCCTCATGCCACACAACAAATGAACAACAGCAAGCTGAGGGTTTGAAGTGGATAGTTCGGCTTCTTCACACATTGGCATTATCAAACTATTCATAGTAAACTATTGATTCATAGCAAACTATTGATCTACCAAGCCTACAGAGTGTCTGTTTGGGGAAAGGAGTAACGCCACGCCTAAACTTATACAGGATCTTAAATCCACTGCTTCTCACAAAACATAGCCAAAGGCAGCTCCTGTTTATAGAGAAAGCAATAAAAGCCTAAAGAAGGCACAGACAACACAGTATTGCCTGGGCCCAAAGAGAGAAGGAAAAGAAATGAATTGATAGCAATTTTAAGTGCAGCCTCCCTGAGCCACAAGGATAGGCCTGCCAGCAAAGAATCTAGAGGTCAGCTGCTGTGCCAGGACCGGAAACCAAGAATTTCGAAGCTGGGATTTCCGAATTTACTCTGCTACAAATGCCTGTCTCTTGGCAAGCCTATCCAGGCCAGGGAAGCAGATGACACAATGAAATGAGATCAACTAAGCCGTTTCCAGAGGGATTGATGCTTGTGAAGATACACAAAGAGAGGAAGCCTAACATGCCCTGATTTCTCCTAGATGTGCTGTGGGACGTGTCGCAGGTCATAAAGCATGAATATCTTTTCAGTTGCAGCTATTATGACAGCAAGAAATGGATATAACTTCCTGTTTGTGAACAGGATAGACAAGAGCAGGTGACTGCAGCGGGTGGGAGGGGAGGCTAAGTGGATCATTACTTTAAAAACACTCACAGGAATTTTTCTGGGGAAATGCCAGGAAATCTAAAGACCAACCCACCGCTAAGTTGTTTGCTGGTATTCCCTGTCGATGCGTAGAAGGCCCTGGTGTACCCCAGGAAGAATTTGACCCAGCGGTTCAGATCCCAGGCCCCTCCCTCCCTTTGACTTTGTGAAGGCTCTAAACCCCAGTGATGAACTCAACGTGCTCAGACTATTAAAAGGTTACACGTCAAGGCCCAGTGCAGAGGCCAGCAAGAAGGAACACTTGGCTAATTGGCATGTCCTCCTTCCCACAGCCTTTCTTCTGCCTAGCGTAAAAAAGTAGATTCAGTCAAGAAATGTGTGCAGCAAAGGACACAGTCAGTTTGAGCCAGTAGTCACTACTAGTCAACATACCAAAAAGAAAAAAAAAATCAATGAAAGAAGGAGAATCATAAAATAGTGATAAGGTTGCAACCTGTAATAATTAAAGGTCGGGGGATGAGTGGGGGAATTACTAATAATATTTCAAGGGTTAAAGCAAGCTGCAGGTCCTGGACACACCACTGTCCCACTAAGATGTATGTTCGTGAGCATGCACATTTGCTTTCTTTGTTTTGTTTTTTTTCTTGTTGTTGTTGTTTTTTGTTTTCTTCTGACTCTGGTTTCTGGCCAACCCTTACAACTTTCAACAAACATTTCCAGAGCCCCAGCTGTGTTCCACACAGACTTTAGGGGCCCTTTAGAGACTGTAGTACCAACAGGCCATGACTACTCAGCTCTAAGTGGCTCAAATTTTTGGTGTTGTTGCTACATTTATTTTGTTATGTGTACAAGTGTTTTTCCTATATGTGTGCATGTATACCACACACATATCTGATGTTCAAGAAGGTGAAAGACACTACCAGATCCCCTGAAAGCATGGCTGCAGCTGGCTGTGAGCCACCGCATGGATGCGGATGCAGGAATTGAGCCTGGGTCATGTGCAAGAACAGCACTTGCATTTACGTGCTGAGAATCTTCCAAGAATAAAAGGCTTTAATCTCACCAAAATTATCTCTCTCCCAGATTTCTGGGTGTGAAACACTGGCTAGTGTCACTGAATCTGAACTGTGCTCCAGCGCTCGCTCCTCTCTGCCTCTGTCCTCCGAAGGTCTGGAAATCTGCTAATTTTGTAGATTACATAATCCAGTAAAAACACAGGCACTTCCCTGGCCACTGGGGACAGGGTGGTTAAGAGCAGACCAGCCCTTCTGCCTAGCAAATTCTCCTAGAAGGAAAAGCATTGTCACAAGAAATAAAATTGGATCCTGATTCTCAGTCCTTGGTTTGAGAAGTTATGCTAAAGGGAAATGCCCAGGGTCCATTTGAATTTGGAGAGTAAAGAAGCAGCCTTTTGGACTTGTCATCTTCTAAGTACCCCAAAGTCACCCAGAAGAGACAGAAGAAACCAGGCTGAGAGGATAAGAAAGATGTCCAGGTGTCCTGGTGTTGCCAGGAGCTATCTGGAAAGCAGGCATTAGGGCAACTTGGCTCGTGAACCTTTATTTCCCCTCCACAGCAGTAAAGGAAAGGAAGATAGAGTCCCTGCTCCTGTTTTGCCTGTAGATTTTGGGATGGTGTGGTCTTCAACACCTTCCAGCAGGGTATAGCTCAGACTCCACATGTAGATAGTGGCAGTCTGGACCACTAAAACCCCATGCATCCCAACCATATATGGAAATAAAATTTGTGTTCAAGGAATTAAAAACTCAACAGAGCCATCAGGAATCTGTGTGCATATCCCAGATATCTGCTCACAGTCCTGGGACTCTTAATCAAAAAGGAATGCTCTAAAACCTGCCCTGAGAGTCTGTTCACACAGCATAAGCAGGATGAATGATGGTTTCTCAGCAGAGAAGTAAATGAAACAAGAGGAATCTGAATAAGGCAGGTATACTTCTTATTTACCAGGAGGAGATCCAATAAAGATCTCCTCAGTACTCTTTGAGCACCTCACTTCCTGCCTCACCAAATAACAAATTCCCTTATTAACTCTGCCCATAGCAAGTCAAGTACCAGATAGAAACCGAACCACTTCTAGGTGTGTCTCCATCCTCAAGACAGCAAACTATGGACGTGGGACAGTTTGCCCCAGCAATTGTTTAGGCTTTTCCAAGACCCTGAGTGAATATGCAGTGTCTTCATTCCCTAGCAGGAAGCCTTGCCATTTTCCAGCTGCCCCCATGTGCAATTGGGCCTCCTTATTCTTGCACAAGCTGATAGCATGTCTAGTGTGGCTATTCCTCCTCCTTCATCTGGCTGACCTGTCAGGACCTTTAAGCATCTGTTCAGACTGACTCCCCTCACAGTTCTAGACCAGTTTCATGTTCGGTGAACCTTGAGCTTGCCCCCACTGCCACCTTGCTGACCCTCTTGACTTCTGGCCCAAGACATCAGGAGCTTGTCTGTAAGCTGTAAGTCACCTGACCAGAGTTAACATGCTATTCCACCTCATGTGGTATATAGAATATTCAACAAGCCCCACTGCCACTATGGGGATGTGAATAGCAACCATTATAGAGTGTTTCATGAGACTGGATGGACTTATAATAAATAATCAGCAGCCGAACTCTCTGTACTTTTAAATCTTTTGATTGATGCACTGTGGTAAACTCTTACAGCTGGAAACACGGGGGCATAAAAAGAAGGAAGCAGTTAAGAAGACAGGCGATTAGTGGGATACAGGATGTCACGATAAGCAACAGGTGTGGGCGAAGAGATGGCTCAGTGAGTCAAGGACCCTCATGGGAAAGCAAATAGCAGACCAGCATGGGTTGTCGTTAGTTTGCCACACATGAACTGAGCGTACACATACCTACACAAAAATAAATAAAATGCAATTTCTTAAAAATATAGAACATATCATGAAGTGTATGAGGAACCACCAAACGATTATGAGCATAGTAGAATCTTAATCATAATAGAATTCTCTCTAGTTAGCCTTCTAGAGAGGAGCTAGGACATAGATGAAAGGAAGAAACCAAAGGCGTGAAGCTCTGCCAGGAGGCTTTAGAGGGACCCAGAGAGCAGTAAGCAGGGCCTGGGCATATTGGTGCACTCTCTCCTGTGTTGGAGCCTGTTCCCTTGCACTCACACAGACACAACCACGTGCACACACATGTGCACATTCAGACTTTTAGTTGTAGACACAGATCAGAAGTCCATGCTAGAGGACTGGCTTGGGAAGGTGCACAAGTGTGTGAAAGGCCAGAGTTATGACTAGTGAGTTGAGGGCCTGCTTGTTCCTGGGCCTTGTACTCAGGCCTCTGAGTCTTGTATTTTTCACATAATCTTTGAGTTGATTGGGGCATTTTCTTGTTAGATCTTCTCCTCAGCGCTGCACATCATTTGGGTTTGGCAGTGTTAGTATTCCCAGTTTATAAATGGGTACACTAAACCCAGAGAAGAATGGTGTTTTCCACAAGATCTTATCATTGATAAAAGACAGAACCACAATTCAAATGTATATCTATTTGATGCCAAGGCAACTACCTTTTCTCTATCATAGGAAACCTGAAATGATTTATGAATTAGGATTGTGTTCTGTGGAAACAGGAAGAGTGGCAAGACTGATGGGAAGGAAAAGGGAATATAGCCATTATTCCTTTGACTGGATCATTTCCTAAGACTTGGAGAGACAAATATTGCATGTTTTCTTTTATATGCGGATCCTCGATTATATTCAATCATCTGTATAGAGATGATATAGATATAGCTATCGAGGGGTGGATTTCATGAAATTAAAAACTAGATAATCTGGGAAAAGGAAGAACAGCTTGGAAGAGGAGAAGAACAGAATATAAGAGGGTGAATATTGTCAAAGTACATGATATGTGTACTTGAGTGAGAATGTATATATGAAGTTCTCCGTGATGCACAATTAGTATATGCCAATACAAAAAAATAGTTCAAATCTTCAAAATAAAGTGGCAAAAATAAAATAACTCCCACTATTGGTTTACTACAAGAAATGACAGGATTCTGAGGATACAGCAGGGAAAACCCTCAAGCTAAAAGATAAAGATAAAAGAGAGGAGGACAACGGGGGTCTCTAGAAAGGAAGTGCAGAGCTGAGATGTAAGATCCCCACCAACTGAGATAGTCCAATGCTGTTTTCCTCCCAGGAGAGCATCAAGGCTTAGACAGCCAAGTCTATAAGCATCTGGGCATGTGTTGAGGTAAGAAGGGCTGTAAGGACTGAACTGTATCTTTCTTTCTCAACAGGCTATACAAAACCAAAATTGTGAACCTTCACCACAGCCAGTTTGTAAGTGTTCATTTTTGATGCCTTTTCTTGGGGGAAATAAGGGCATTTCTTATAGTTTTAGGATGAAAGTAATTGGGAGTGGGTCTTTAATTAACACATTGCTAAGCCAAGGGATGCAGAAAGACTGAAAGAATAGTGCGGCTCCTCACCCATCATTAAGAAGGCAAAATTGGCCAGGCGGTGGTGGTGCTGCCAGGCGGTGGTGGCGCTGCCGGGCGGTGGTGGCGCTGCCGGGCGGTGGTGGCGCTGCCGGGCGGTGGTGGCGCTGCCAGGCGGTGGTGGCGCACGCCTTTAATCCCAGCACTCGGGAGGTAGAGGCAGGTGGATCTCTGTGAGTTCGAGACCAGCCTGGTCTACAAGAGCTAGTTCCAGGACAGGCTCCAATGGTACAGAGAAACCCTGTCTCGAATCTCCCCCTCCCCCCAAAAAAGAAGCCAAAACTGTGTTCTGACTACATGCATGATATGTGGCCTGAGTCTCACAGACATGCTGGGCAACGCAGCCTTCAGACAGATCATTCCAGCTGTCTACAGTCAGTCATCTCTGATTGTGGTTATCCTTCTGACTAGCTAAGTGTGGATGAAAGTAATCAAGTCCAATTAAGGAGTGAGAACAGTTCCCAAAGCAGCAAAAGTATACAATAGAATCATCATTACCACTATAGATCCTATAGTATAGAACATGTTTAACTTTAATACAAAAGCCAACATGAAATTATAAGTTCCTTCTTAAAGACTAATGAGAAAAAGGCCCAGAAAGGGAAGAGGATCCGCCAAGGTCATGGAGCAACAGAATGGATCCTACTTCTCCCCCCATCCCTTCTCTGTTGAGTTATCCAGACACTTCAGTGGATACAGCAAAAGAATCATAAAGAATATGAAAAGTCAACTGGCCCTCACAGAACAATCAGCATAGTTTTTATTAGGCCTGGCTAGGGGCCAGCAACCACGTAAACACAGTATTCAAGGTAGAGATTACTGTGCCCATCTCAGAGAAAGAACAGTGTCCAGGCTAGGCAACTCGCCCAAAGTCCTTTGCACGCAAGACTCTTATTCCCAAGTCTCCCATGTCCCCAGTGGTGCATCCTACAGACACCATAGCCATTCCAAACACACATGGAGCTGAGCTGCAAGGCATGGGGCTGATGCTCCTCTCTCACCACAGGGGCTGTCGTCACTCTCTTAGCCTTACTCAAAGCATATTTCTTGTTTCGTTACAGACAAGCCTCCCAGAGCCAAGCCAAGGGCGCACCTGACAAGTAAGACTTCCTGTACTCCTTTAAACACCAAGGGCCATAGGCCTGAGATTTCTTTCATTATATTACCAAAACTCACTGTGGTGGCTTTCAACGGGCATCAGAATTGACAATCAAGGATTTTGAGTAACTTCTTCTTCCCTGTGACAAAACCAAGGACCCATGTCTCTCTGGTGCTCGGTACTCTTCAATCGGCCTTCTGCCTGTGCATCCTTCTTTTCTCTGGCATACATACACCCAGCCATCCTGAAGTGGTTTTCCTCCATTCTGTGTCCTCAAGTAATTCTGGCTCTCATAATGGCTGAAAGATTTCTGGATTGACTTGAAGGGGCTGGAGGGCAAGCTCAGTGAGTGGGTGCTGCTGCTTCTGAGCCTGGGTACCTACAGTGCTGGTGCTAGGTACAGGCTCAGTCAGATCTCAGAAGCTCCCTGGACCTCTGTGAGGTCCATCTCAAAAATGAAGGTGGAAAGCCACAGGGGATGATACTCAGTGGCAACTTCTGGTTTCCACAGGTGAACACACACACACACACACACACACACACACATACACAAGCACACACATAGACACACATGAAGAAAACATTCAGGAAACTCAGACTCAGACAATGATTTGCATGTTCCTAATCAGACAGATACGCAGTGGAAGAGTTCAGAGTTAAGCTTGCTTCTTTAGGCTACGATTTTCACTGCAGCAGGCTCTCTAATCCAAGTCTGACTGCCGCTAAGCTAACACAGCTTATTGCACTCAGTGCTATGAGGGTTGCCTCTCTAGAGACACAATGGGACTGGTTTATGCATCATCTGAGAAAACATGTCAATCACCGCATCATTCACAGTGAAAAACTACCAGATGTGACTCACAAAGATGTCTATAAGGAGGCGCCAGAGCTTTCCAAGAGCCACTTAATGTAGAGACTAGATGAGTTCAAACCCACTCAAGACTGTGCCAAGCTTGCAAAAGAAAACCTAGTCCAGTCAGCAATGGGAAAGATACCTTAGAACCTCCAGAGTCTAGGTTTCTGGTCACCCACTGGATGTGCAGGTTGTTGAATTGTTCCTTAAGGCAGAAGCTATCCACAAACTATAGTGTCAGTACATAATGGTGATTGCTGTGAGTTTCCAAAGCAGTTAGAGGCAGTTAAGATGTTTTTGTTGTCTCTAATTGTAATAGTTTTGTTGTAAATTATCCTATTTGACATCAGTAGTTTGAAACAAGTTTGGTTCTATCCATTTCCTTTAACTATAGACATCAGCTAATATGCTTAATTTAATTAGAATTAGGAGTGAAGCAGACATAAGAACATATGAAATATATTAAATAGCACAGGCTTACTCTTTAATCTGTCTAAATGAAGCATGGCACTTTATCTGAACAGAAAAAACCAAGCTCAACTGTACCTGGCTTATTTTAATCTATAAAATGCCCACATTGGTTATGTCCACTTAATGTTCAGAACAAGGCTCTAAAGAGCCCAATCCTCAACTTCCAGATGAGACACTGAGGTGCAGAGAGAAAGCAAACAAACATGCACAGTTGATTAAAGAGGTTTGCATGGTGCAGAATCAGAGTTGGTACTGGGCCCAAGCAGCCCAGAGCCCAACTTCCATCCCACAAGTATATTTGGCTCTGGCAGTGTGGGAGAGGAATTGCTGAAATGTTCTGAATCTCTAGTCCCAGAATGTCCTCAGGCAATTCACTATTGATTACCGCCTGTTTTGTGACATTGGACCACAACATTGTGACGTAATGACAAGGTTGATCTCTCTCTCTCTCTCTCTCTCTCTCTCTCTCTCTCTTTCTCTATCTCTCTCCCTCCCTCCCGTTTCCCACTCCCTCTCTCCATTCCTCCTCCCCTCCTCCTTTTGGAAGAGAGCTTGTCTGAAACAGAACGCCAGGAAAGATGAGCGCATTTCCCAATAGCTGTGGATTTTACACCTCCTTTAGTCCTTCTCACGAGTGGTATTTGTCTTTTTTAGATTTTAGGATTTTTAGATTCTGTAGATGGCAAGTGTACAAAAGGAATTTTTCTAGAGGGAGGGAGAAGGGGAGAAAGGAGAGTACAGTCATATATTCCATATTGGTGGGCAACTGTTTTCAGGATCTCCAGCAGACAGTCCAATCATTGGATGATGTAGTCCCTCATAAAAATGATGGAGCAGTAACAAACTCTGCACTTTTCCTCCTGGTGTATGCTAAATACTTCTGGCTTTTAACACCAGATACAATGTAAATACTTCTGGCTTTTAACACCGGATACAATGTAAATACTTCTAGCTTTTAACACCGAATAAAATACAAGTATTTCCGGCTTTTAACACCTGATACAAGGCAAATACTTCCGGCTATTAACACCTGATACAATGTAAAGAGTTTTACTATATTACCTGGGGAAATGTGCAAAGAAAAGATGCTATTTTCCCCCAATACTTTCATTTCCTGAATTGGGGTGAATGATAAGCTCAGGACTGTGTATGGTAAGAATGTTGGTATAGTGATGGAAATATTACATTTGGGAGCAGGCTTTGACATAAAGTTTGCCAGTTTCTCCAGCTAAGTTAAAAGGATTTTTCCTTGCGTAGAATGGGTAGGAAAAGCTGGAATGAACCAAGCATGGAAAAGGAGGATAATCAGGGCTAATCTGAGAATGTCTTAGCTCAAAGTGAGCTTTGTCTTCCAGACAGTGGGTGCTAGTCATGCTGAGGGTAGGCAAAGCTGAGGGACCTGGAAGAATTATTCTACATATGTCTTTGCCAATTGGCCAGTGAGGATAACAGGGTGGACTCATCATTCATAGGCCCCAGAATGAGGACTGGGACCGTCTGGTGTCAGGATTTGTCCTGGGTAAGCAAGCTGTTAGCGGTAGATTCTTTTCAGGTGCACAGAAGAACAAAGGGATTTCTTGACTTTCACTGCATCCATGTAGAACAACAGTTTGTGAATAAGAAAACATTTGATGATGAGCCAGGAATGAATGACCACACCAGGACAAAAACTTCAATTCTCAGGAATGCACAGCTCCGACTGTGGACGAGGTACATAAGCTCCTAGAGACCCCAAGGAAAGGGAATGCAGAAAGCAGGGACTGGAAAGCTGGCTGAGTCTGAAAAGTGCTTGCATTGCAGCATGAGGACTTCAGCTTGAATCTCCAGCAACCACTGAGAAATCTCGGCACAGCCACTCATGCCTGTGTCCCTAGCACTGGAGTGACAGAGATAAGTGGGTCCCAAAACTTTCGAGCCAGCCAATCTGCTCAAGTTAGTGAACTCCAGGCTCAGTGAAAACCCATGTCTCAAAACATAGGGGGAAGGACACCCCATTTCTATCTCTGGCCCCCACATGCACACATGTAGACACAACACAAACACATAGGCACATGCACACACTAAGAAAACAGGAAAAGAGGACAAGACTTTATCAAAGGCCATGGGTCCTGACCTGTGCCAATCAAACTTCTCTCCTGTATTTGCAGTCCTTAAGCAAACTCCAGGGCCACATCTGCAAAATCAGTTTCCTGCTCTGCACTGGGAACATGAACTAGGCTTGGCCTTCACCAAGAACAGGATGAACTATACCAACAAATTTCTGGTCATCCCCGAGTCCGGAGACTATTTCATTTACTCCCAGATCACATTCCGAGGGATCACATCTAGGTGCAGCAACATCAACCAAGGAAGACGACCTAACAGGCCAGACTTCATCATTGTGGTTATCACCAAGGTAACAGACAGCTACCCCGAGCCCTCCCACCTCCTCACAGGAACCAAGTCTGTGTGTGAAATAAGTAGCAACTGGTTTCAGCCCCTCTACCTTGGGGCTATGTTCTCCTTGGAAGAAGGGGACAGGTTGATGGTTAATGTCAGTGATATCTCCTTGGTGGATTACACAAAAGAAGATAAAACTTTCTTTGGTGCCTTCTTGCTATAAGGGGAAACAAGCACAATCATGTAGGGCCTCCTTGACCCCTACTTCCCACTTTCCTTTGCTCATGTGGAACTATAATCAGGGATGTAGGGGATCAAGGATGGGGACAGAGGTTTATCTACATAATTTAGGAACCCAAGATGATTCTCTCTATATGTTTTGGACTGAAATAGTAAATGGAAAACTCAGAAGAACTCGTGTTTGCTAGAGACCTGCTGGGTTTTCAAAATTAAAATAGCTATCTCCAATGGCTCTATCTACTGCTCTCCAGACATGATGTTTCTGAGATGTCCTCCTTCCTGTTCATTGATTAGTTGAGGATGCTTCATCAGTGACTCTAGTCTGGCTCCATGGTCAGAAAAGGAGAATGGAATGTTCTGCCTGCACCTATCCCATGGTGTATGAGAGTATCGAGCAGCACAGACTTACTGTAAGGACTGGCACAAGAACAGCCAAAATGATCACCTCCTCCACTAAACCCAAACCTTGTATCAAGGGCCTTCAAAGCTGCCCATGGCTGGTCTGGGCGACTTGGAAGTTTATCCAAGACAGGGATCTTCTGGCATCTCGGGATGCCTGAGGCTCTGGGAAGTTCCCCATCAGGTATTCATTTTGCCCCTGTTTGCGGAAAACTGGAACTCAAATTTTCTCTATTGAGTTTGTTAAATATATATATATAATATATATATACTATGTATATTATATATAACATATATATAATATATTTGTGTGCATGTGCGTATGTGAGCGTGTGCACGCGTGTGTGTGCGCGTGCATGTGCGTATGTGTGTGTGTGTGTGTGTGTGTGTGTGTGTGTGTGTGTGTGTGTTACTGTCCAGAAGGGCATGACCAACCATTCCTAACTGGACTCGAGTCAGCACTTCTGTTTCCAAGGTACTGGTCCCACAGCAAACATGAGGCCACTGCTGTGTAAAGCAAGATGGGGAAAGAATGTTTTCTAAAAACATGTGGTGGCGTCAAGGGTGGTGGTACACATCTTTAATCCCAGCATGGAGGAGGCTGAGCCAGGAGTATTGTCATAAGTTTGAGGAAAACCAGGCCTAAGTAGTAATTTTCTGGCAAGTCTGGGCTATGTAACAGGATCTCCTCTTAAATTAAAATTTAAAAAAAAAATAGAAAATAGACTAGTCCTCAAAGATAAAGTAATATATTCAAGGATTTGGGAAAGAGGGCATGTGTTTTAGTGAAAAATATTTTGCTGGTTAAATGCTTCTCAAAAAGCTACAGAACTCAAATAGATTCCATAAGCATTTATTTGGGACTTACTTGCCCTGGAGATAGAGAAATAAATTATTTTAGTCTCGGATCCACTCATCCTAACAGATTGGGACCTCCGTCATTTGTGCAGCTTTCTGTCACTCTGGCTGTGCTAGCTGATTAATCAGCTGACCTGAGATGCTTTGGTATTTTCTTATTATGAATATGGGCACCATTTGAGAAGGACAATCAATAACAGAATGATTTGCATTTCTTCTTGAGTGTTGTTATAACAGCTAAGCAAGGACAGTTTCCCATAAATAAACAAGAGGGGATGTAAGCATACAACTCCCTACGGTGAGATCCAGCAAACAGAAAGAGATTATTGCTATTTGCTGACCTTAAAATTTGACATAAAGACCCTTGAAAATACTAGAACTGCATGAATGGCCTAGAGGTACTCTGGAAAGTCTATGTCCCCAGCAAAAGCAAAAGTCATAGTCATCTTTCATAGGTCATTGGAATTTTGACCTTAGCTGGCTTTGGGTCTGTTTGACCAAACGCAATTGCAAGGCTGTAACTTCTGAGTTGATTTTGTTGTCTAACTAAGGGATAGTGGGAAAAAGGAAAGTGAACTTCTACCATCTCTTGGAACGGATTAGGTTCCATGCACGCCAGAGCCCTTGGATCTATTTCCATGCAAGCTACTTCACCCCAAAGGTAATTCCAATTCCATGCTTGGCAGTAACTCCTTGGCTTATAGAAGTCCACGAGTTCACTGTGCACAAGGCATGGCCATTGCCAGCACTCTCTTGCGTGGTATTTCTCTCAAGTCCTTACTCAATCAGGTTTCCATGATTGTGACATTAAGGATTAATTTCTAGAGCAGGTTTGTTTATATCCTGTCCCTTGCAAAATACATGCAGATATGCCTGGCCTCAAAATCCCCTGGTTGTTAGGGCTTAGAGTCCTGCGACTGTTGCGCCATTTTCAGTATTTTATTAAAGCTTGCATCATTGCTCTGAATGCTGGCAGTATTCTAGCATATTGGCTGCTAGCCTTTGGAGGATTCGCCGAGCCCTTAGTAAAGGTGACAGTGCTAGCTCAGAGTGGTCGCACTTGTGCTTTGCTAACACTTCCCGAGCTCCATCTGGCCATCTTGAGGACACTCACAAGCCCATATTGCTGTTACTTTTTCAGAGTGACGCAGTCTGTTCATGGGAAAGGCAGAGCTGGAAGTCTGTCTTCTGAGAAGTCTGTCTTCCCACTCTCTACTCTTGGCAAACGATACAGGTTGATGCAACTAGAGGAGAACTGAAGAAGGGCAGGAGAATATCTTTGACTACCTATGGGGCAATATAGAAGAGTAAGGAGATTTACACATGGTACCTATACCTAAACCAATTTTCTGCCCCCAAATAGATTTTTTTTTAACCTGGTAGTGATAGCTTATTCTCTGGAGATAGTCAAGCAAAAAGAGAGTTTGTAGAAGCTATTGCGTCACAGAGGTCAGGAGAGGGAGTAAGTCAAAGCATTCCTCTTCCAGATCTATGACCATGTGGTCACCTTTCTATCTGATCATAACAAACCTGACAGCTCTGCCAAGAGTTCTGGGGTTCCCACATCTCCCCCACACTATCAACTCTGGGGTCTTAACCAGTACATAAGACGTCATGGGATTTTAGAGCTGACATGAACTGCAGAGTTTTCTATCCAAATTCATATCACTTCAAGTGAAAAAACACAGGCTGAGGGAGAGATGCTACACGAGGCTTGGTGCAGGGAGAGCCTGATAGAGTGTGAAGACTGAGCTGGGCTTCCTGTCCCCGACACCCGGCTCAGCAGCCTTTCCATTTGATCTGGGGATTGCTGGCTGGTTTCGGTTTTTATTTTATTTTATTTTTACTTTTTTGAGCACCTGTCACACTTAGACATGTTCACAACAAGAGGGTCAGTGACAGGAAGCTCTGCTCTGCTGTGTGAACACAGGGGGAAGGAGACTCACAGTAGTGAGTAAACAGAATAGTGAACTTAGATGATTTTAGTCTTAAAGTGATTAAGACACACCATTTTCCCCTCTTTTGTCTCAGAGGGCATACAGGTGTTCGCCTGATTTTAGTGATAAGCCCTATGTGCTTTCATTGGTTGTATGTTTTATGTTAAAACGTCACATCGCCATGGTACAATGCATATTGTGTGTTGTTGGGTATGTAATTAACTAGTATGCATCACATGTATGAATTCTAATCTCTGTAAATGAAAATTTATGTATGTTAACATATATAATAGTTGTAATTTAATAAACTGGCAATGAGGCTGCAGGAATTTGATTGTGTCGATTCTTTTTGATATAACACAATTCTTTTTGGATTCTTTGTGAATTTCATATCATGTACCCCAATCCCACTCACCTCCCAGTCCCTGTATATCTGCTCCCACCCCCACCTCAGCAGCATCCTCCCCAAAAGAACCCCCCAAAAATAATTAAAACACACAGAAAACTCACCTTACCCCTCTGTCTTTCCAAGACTCTTCATGCCTCCCAGGGACAATGGGTGCTGCAGTGTGTCACAGAATATAGCTTTGCCCAGGCAGCTCTACGGCAAAATGGTCATTGCGATGGGTCTGTTGTCTGGTTCAAGGCCTCTGGCACACCGCCATCACTGGACCCTCTCCCAAACTCCTCTTGATTATCCCGCTGCTGCTTCCCCAAGTCACGGAGGTCCTTCTGCCATCATCCCAGGACAAGTCTGTTCGTATATCCCAGCAGGTCATAGATGGGGTAGACGTCAGAGTGTATCAAACCAAGTCCCTGGATGTGGAGCTGGATGGTACTGAGCTGGTCTGTCCGGACCACTAGGACCACCACCCTGTCAGGTGAGGGGCAGAGCCAGCTCTCCCACATCCATGGTGAGGGTTGGGTCATCTCTCCCAAGTGTGTGGGGAGGGGAGAGGGGTCTCCCAATGAGAGATGGGGTCAGCTATCTCAGGGCCAGTGAGTGGCAAGGCCAGCTCAGCACAACCTTTGGATTTCAACATGAATGGTTCCTATGACCCCTGCAGTAGCATGGGCCATACGTACAGGAGGAACACAGAACCAGATATGGCCCTTGGCAGCTCAGGCCCAGACTGGCATGGCTTTGGTGGCAGCATGGCCCTCAGACATCAACATGGCCACAGGTTGCAGCCTAGACCCCAGGCATCCATGTGACCTTTGGTGGCATCAGGTGCCATAGATATCAACACAGACCCTGGCTACGGTAGGACCACAGACCCAGACACGATCCTCACTGCAGCCCCGGCCAGGATGCCACCATGACCCCAGGTGGCAGCACAGGGCATTCAGACCAGCATGGCCCCTGCAGCAGCATGGCCCAAGGACACTAACACAGTCCCGGGTGGTGGCCCAGACCCCTGGCATTGACCTAATCTTCAATGGTATCAGGAATCATGGGCAGATTATATCAACTATTTTATCAATCAGCTCATTTATTTTTATTTCTGGATAAATATCCAAGGACAAGAACCTCTTGGGACTTTAAAAAAAATACATAAAATGCTTGCAACACAAACAAGAGAGTCTGAGTTTGTATCCCCCAAAGGGACATGAAGGTCAGATGGGTGTGACAGCCATCTGGAGCTCCAGCTTTGGAAGGCGAAACAGGGATCCCTAAAGCAGGCTTTATGATGAGACTAGCTGCATCACTGATCCAAGATGTGTTTTTAACCGAGAGATCCCACTGCAATAAATAAGATGGGAAGGAACTGGGGAAGATCCCAACACCAACATGAACCCCCACTTACACATGTACACACTGATGTGTGCCCTCACACATGAGAACACACAATATGCACGCGTACCACACACACATAGATATGAAAAAATACATCCGTCTGTTCATACCCTCAGCGTGATTAGAATGGACTGTAAAACACAAACAGATTGAGCCATGCTGGCAAGGAAGCAGGAGAGCAGGGCAAGTCCCCTGACTTCCATTAATGCAGCCAGGCACTGCAGCTCGGTGGCTTAGTTGTGTGGCAAACATCCCTGCAACAGTAAGAATAGAGTGGGAACACTGATGGACCTGGGAGCCCGTGCCTGAAGTTAGGCCTGTGTCTCCCATGCAAACAGCAACCAAGGACTGGAGAGGGCTTTTGCTATGCAAGTGTAGGTCCTGAGTTCAGATCCCTAATACCTAGATTAAAGGTATTGGGTTAGCCAGGGTTAGCCAGTCACAGATACCTGGAATCCCAGTGCATGAGAAAATAGTAACCTCCATCTTCAGTAAGAGGCCCTCTAT